CACTATCTGGAAAGTGGGCGCCAGGATCTAGGGAAGGAGCACCCCCATGATCTCTAAATTATTCAGCTGGGCTATTTTCTTAATAAATTGTAGCCTCATCCATTTTAACGACGCTGCCTTGGAGGCCAGGGCGCAGTGACTCCAGGTCACCTTCGAAAAGAGAGTCTAGCTTGGGAATCGACAGCTGTGACTTTCTGGACTTGGGAGTTTCTGAAGACTTGAGCACGCAGAGAGATGTACGGTGTGGCAGGGGCAGAGGAGCCGGGAGCGGGGCACAGGGGCAGCTCCGGGGGCCGGGTGGTGGCGGGGAGGTGGGCACCGCGACGGAAGCTCTTAGAGAAAGGACGCCGCTATCGGCCAAGGGGTCGGGCCCAGGGTCAGGGTCCGGGCCGAGCAGAGGACACGGGAAAGGTCCAAGCCGACCCAAAGCCCTCGCACTGACTGGGCAGCACCAACGGAGCACCGAAGGGTGCGAGGATTACAATCTAATGCTCGTCCCCCGCCCCCACCTCGAGAGAACTAAGCTGGAGGCGGAGACGCGAGCCTGGCAGCGCAGGGGGCCGGGGGTCGGGGCCGAGCCCGCCCGGAGAGAGGCCGCCGGCCTGGGCCAGGACGCGGGGCCGTACTCACCATGTCGTACACGTTGAGCACCACTAACTGGTTAGCCCCCATGCTCCTCCTTGCCGCCGCCGCCTCGTCCTCGAGCTGCTCCGTCTCCGCGGGGCCGGAGGCCGCTCCCACCCCCGCCGGCGCTTCAGGGGGCCTGAGCCGGGCGCTAAGCGTACAGCCCGGCCCGCCGCAGCCGGAGCGGAAGCATCGGGCAGCCGGGCCGCTCCGAGGCGCTGCCGACAGGAGCTACTGCGGGGCCGGGCCGGACCGGTGGCGGGCCCGCTCGGGCTCAGGCGCCTCCCCTAGGCGGCAGACACGTGGGGAAGGGCGGGGCCTGAGCGAGGGGCGGGCGCCGGGCGCCCCGTGGGCGGGGCCGGCCCGGCGCCAGGGCTGAGCCCGCTTGCGCTGTGGTACTTGGCTGCCGCTCCTCAGGACCTAAAATGGCGGCAGCCTCGGCATCTCTTCGCCCTGGAGGAGCGGGGCCCCAGAGAGACTGCAGTTCCCAGCATGCAGCGAGGATCCCAACCCTCCCCACCCCCACCCCCACTCCGTCTCGCTACTGGAAGGGCAGAGGCTGTCTCAACTGCCTTCGACTACAACTCCCAGCATGCTGCTGGGGTTCCGACCCTACCAGACTAGTTCTCCCAGGGAGACTACAGATCCCAGCATGCAGCGCTTTGCACCTGCGGGCGGATCCTTTGCTGCCTGTCCTTGACAGGAGGTGAAGTCCTCTACCTTCAACCTATCGCCGCTAGTGCTGGTGCTGGTGCTGGTGCTACTGGTTATATCTTGTTGAGCCCAATGAAGTCAAATGTAGCAAAGACCACAGTGATGAATCCGTTTTCCAGATCGCTCTCTTTTTTAGCAAGAGGAGGTGTGGGGCAATAAAGGAAGCGTTACTGGTATGAATGAGATGTCATGTGCATCCAGTTAATCTTCAACATAGAACTTGCATTTTATGAAACTATCCTGCTGAGATGGAAAAAGTACAGCACAACCCAGGGGTATAGAGGCGCTTCTGTGTTCAACAAATACTTGCGTTCTTACCACATGCCAGGCGGTGTTGTAGACCATGGTGTGGAGGATCTGGGGCACAAGAAGGGGAGGATCTGGGGCACAAGAGGGGTTGACCTTTATTAGGAAGAATGGGCTAGAAGACTGGGTGCAAGATGTGGGTGCATTGTGATGGCATAGAAAGCAAGGAAGATAAGGACCCGCGTTATGGCTCAGCAGGTTAAGTTACTGCCTGCGACGCTGGCATCCCACCCGAGTGCCAAGTTGGAGTTCGCAGGGAAAGCAGGGGAAGATGGTCCAAGTCCTTGGGCCCCTGCTACCCACATGGGAGACCAGAATGGAGTTCCAGACCTGACCCATACGGCCATTTTGGGAGTAAACCAGCTGATGAACGATTTCTCTCTATCTCTTCCTCGCTGTGTAACTCTGCTTTTCAATTTTTTTTTTTTAAGGGCAAGGTAGATAGCAATAGGTCAGAACTGAGATGAGGAAGGTGAGCATCCTTTTCTGATTTTTATCTTCTCAATGAATTGCAAAGCAAGATGAGAAGTGAGGAAAAGGGGTGTAGCAAGTTTGAATAAAGATGTAAAATAGAGAAAATAAGTATACTAAGGAAATATGGTTTGATTGCCAGGCAGTATTGAGGGGCAGCAAATTCTTTGTACCCCCTGTTGTAATTTGATTGTTCAGGTTACAAAGTTCTAAAATTTGTTTCTAAAATTTGTTTCCTGCTGTGGCATCCCTCCCCACCTAACCCAATGAACATACCACTTAATCCCATTTTTTTTTTTTAAGATTTATTTATTTGAAAGAGTTACAGAGGTAGACTTCCCAGATAACCACAATGGCTGGGACTGGGTCAGGCCAAAGCCAGGAGCCAGGAGCTTCTTCTGGGTCTCCCATGTGGGTGGTAGGGGCCCAAGGACTTGGGCCATCTTTATGCAGGGGGCTGGATTGGGAGTGGAACGGCTGGAACACGAGCCAGCCCCATCTAGGATTCCGGCGTTTACCTGCTACACACACTGGCCCCTACTTAATCCCTTCTTCTAAATCCCTTTCTCCCAGGAATTGTGAGGACAAGCACTGAATACTTAAAATTCATTTAGTCCTGGCTGCTCTACTTTATATGAACAGCCAGTTCACTTCCCCTCTTACTCTGCACCCTCCCTTTGCTCTTTGTGATCTCATCCACTCTCAGGGCTGTAACTGTCACCTGCTACCTTCACAGATGCCTGTCCCTAGCTTCAACCTCTGCTCCCTCCTGAGTGCTGTAGAACCTGCAGCCTATCTGACTTCCTGTCCAGGATGTACTCATCACTGCAACAAATCACTGCAAGCTTATGGTCTAAAATCACTAATTTATTATCGTACAATTCTAGATATCAGAAGTCTAAGTATGGACTCCATGGGCTAAAATCAAGATCTGGGTCCCATTGGGAGGCTCTGGGGAAGAATGTGCTCTGTTGCCTTTTCCGGCTTCTGGAGGCTACTCTTGTTCTTTGGTTCATGGCCATACCACTGCAACCTCTATTCGTGTCATCATATCCTTTTTGACATTCTTTTTCTCACACAGAAAGATCTGTGCAATAAGATTGGGCCCACCCGGATAATCCTGAATAATCTCCCCATCTGAAGATCCTTAATCATGTCTGCTAAATCCTCTTTTCCTGTGAAAGGTAACATCCTTCTGGGTTCTGGGGATCACATGTGAAAATCTCTTGATCCCTTTGAATTTATCAGGTGTAAAATAGAATTCATCATCTGATGATGGAGTTTTATTGCTCATCTAATTTGGGTATTGATCCAATAATGGAAATAATCCATCATCCAGTCAATGAACAAGCATTAAACGAGTCCCTTTTCTGTGTCAGCCACGGTGTTTCACTAGTTCATTGGTGACAAAATGGATATGATTCCTATTCTCATGAATCACAATCCAGTGAAAGACACACACACACACACTAATGCTAATGCATAGATTAATAATTTAAGCCGAAGGAGACAAGCAGTAGTTGAGTATAACAAGAAGACTTATTGAAGGTAGTTGTCAGGAGACAACAAGGAAAACTTAAAGAATTGTAAACTGGGTAATGGAGACCTAAAAAAGACAAAAATGGAACACTAAGGTAGCAGAAAGCCAGAACAGCTGGCACCCCAGGCCTGCAAGGACAAAGGGACTGGAATTTTAAAACCTTCGAAGTTTGCAGGAGAGCCTCACTGAGCTGGCATTCCAAATTCTAAAGAGAGGAGCTGCCGGTACTTCTAAAGGGGCACAATGACGCTAATCCTGGAAACTAAAAAATGGTAACCCAGAGGACGGTGACAGTGCTGTGGCTAGCGGGTTAAGCCTCCATCTGCAACGCCCCCACTCTCTCTTTCTCCTGTAACTCTGCCTTTCAAATAAAAAAATCTTAAAAAAAAAAATGTTAAGCTAGAATCAACTATTGTTATTGAAATCAGGTGCGTGGAGGGAAGGCGGCCCTGGTTAATTTCTATTGTCTGAAAGGTGGAGAGCAGCAGATCCTCCTTCCTCTCCCGCCTTCCAGCCTCCTCCTCCAGAGTTCCCAACCAGGGAAGCCTACCAGGGAAACCCAGGGAAAGCAGAAATGTGCTTTGCAGAGTGCAGGCCCCCGCAACACCAAGCAATTCAAATAAAAGTAGCTTGGGTTGAAAAAGAAGTAGCTTTGATGAAACCTCCCATAGTCACACAAACTATTTCTTAGGTAACCTAGAGGGAGACAGGATCTGCCCAAACCAGTATAAAGGAAAATAAACATGAGAGTTTATTGCTACCTATGTTCAAGAGGGAAACTGAGTCCAGTTGTATTTTATTTTTTGCAGCTTAAAACAGATGATGTCTCGCAGTATGTCAAGGTCAGGAATCTAAAGGCAGTGTGTGTGAGTGCAGCTCTCTAGAGCTGCAGCCATCTGCGACTAGAGACCCTGCTTCCAAGCCCACTCTGCAGCTGTTGGGAGGAAGCTTTAGTCTGTCACCACGTGGGCCTTTCTGTAGGGCTGTTCAGAGCAAGGCAGCTGCTTCTCCCAGAGGAACTGACCCCAAACAGAGTGGGAGAGTGACCAAGGGCAGTGTCTTATAATCTGATCTCAGAACAGCCTCCTTCACGTCTACTCTATCGGCCAACTGACCAAGTCTGGGGCATTATGAGAGGGACCCTCACAAGGGTGTAAATAGCAGGAGACAGGGGTCATTGGAACCCATCTTGGAAGCTGGCTACTTCTGATGGCTCTATAAAACTGCCACTCCCCTGAGGTGTGACACAGAGAAGAATGGCTAATGCTGGTGTCCTCTCCACTCGCATGAGAAAGGCAGCTGGCTCTCTGTATCTGCAGTTTGTTTTTTTGTTTGTTCGTTTGTTTTTGTTTTTTGTTTTTTGACAGGCAGAGTGGACAGTGAGAGAGAGAGACAGAGAGAAAGGTCTTCCTTTTGCCGTTGGTTCACCCTCCAATGGCCGCTGCGGCTGGCGCCCTGCGGCCGGCGCACGGCACTGATCCGATGGCAGGAGCCAGGTACTTATCCTGGTCTCCCATGAGGGTGCAGGGCCATCCTCCACTGCACTCCCTGGCCACAGCAGAGAGCTGGCCTGGAAGAGGGGCAACCGGGACAGAATCCGGCGCCTCGACCAGGACTAGAACCTGGTGTGCCGGCGCTGCAAGGCGGAGGATTAGCCTAGTGAGCCATGGCGCCGGCCCTCTGCAGCTTCTGCATCCCTAGATACAATCAATCATGGATTTGAAACATTTTCAAAAATTAAGTCTGAGGGCTGATTTTGTGGCATAATGGGTTAAGTCTGTGCCCACAATGCTGTCATCCCATATAGCCACCAGTTCGAGTCTCAGCTGTTCCACTTCTGATCCAGCTCCCTGCTAATGCGCCCAATTCCTCGGGCCCCTTCACTCACATGGGAAATGCAGAAGCTCCTGGCTCCCGTTTTCGGCCTGGCCTAGCCCTGGCAGTTGCGGCCATTTGGGGAGGGACCAGTGGATGGAAGACCTCTCTCTCTCCTCTTTCCCTTTCCTTCTTTTTCTTCCTCTCCCTCTCTCTGTCCTTCAAATAAATATCTTACTTAAAAATAAAATTAAGTCTGTACTGATCACATACAGACTTTTTTCTTGTCATTATTCCCTAAACAATATGGTACAACTTACATAGCAGTTACATTGTATTGGGTATTGTAAATAATCTAGAAACAATTTAAAGTACATGGGAGGAGGTACACAGGTTATATACAAATACTTTGCCATTTTATATAAGGGACTTGACATCCATAGCTTTTGTTTCCATGTTGGGGTCCTAGAACCAATTCCTCAAGGATAGTGAGGAGGACTGTATTAGGAGGTCACACTCAGTTCTCTCCCCATCCCCTCTGTCCCAGTCTCTGCCAGATGTTATAGGTTGACAATTTGATTGTTTTGGTCCAGCTTTAAAGGATGAGCATGTGGATTCTTCTAATGGATCTTTAAATAGTCCATTTTTATTTATTTCCATTTTGTTTGAAAGCCAGAGAGACAGAGATCTTCCATTCACTGGTTCACTCCCCAAGTGTATGCAACAGCCAGGTTGGGCCAGATTGAAGTCAGGAACCAGGAATTCAATCTGGATCTCCCATGTGAGTAACAGGGAACCAAGTACTTGAGCCATCATCTTCTGCCTTCTTAGAGTGCACGTTAGCAGGGAGCTGAATTGGAAGCAGCGTAGCTAGGACTCAAACCAGGCGCTCTGAAATGGGATGCCTGCATCCCAAGTGGTGTCTAAACCATGGAAGCAAATGCTCGTCCCTTGAAATAGTCCATTTTTTATGTCAAAGTTGTATCTGAGACTGCATAGTTGAAAAATTCAGAAGATAATGGAAAACTTTGCCTTAGCTGTCTTTAGTTATGTGGTGACTTTTTAAGCTATTGGTAATTGTTCCAGGCCGTCCAGATGGAAGTGAAATGTGATTGGTAGGGCTTTGGATGCAAAAGTTGTTCAGGTGGACACTGCTAGCTGTTTGTGGAGTGGGTTATCATTTCAGGCAAGGCATGAAATTGTCCCTGGCTGGGAAGTTAGAACTGAACAAGGCTCACTTGTCATTTCTCTGCTTCCCTCGTCTCTAGGAATTCCATAATGGTAACAAGATGGAAATCACTCTTACTGAAATTTGGGCCATTAACTGCCTTGTGGGCTGTTTCATTCTTAATTGGTACATGAAAACTGGGGCCCACAATAGCATTGAATCTTATACATCAGCAGACCAGACATGAACTTGGTTTGCTGTTCTGGTTATCTACATGAGGATGTATACGTGGGAATTCCTTAGGGTGGGAAGAACTGAATATTACTGTCCATGTGAATGTGAACTGCTTCTGATCTTCTTGTCTCAATGGGATGGGAAAGGACACGTGTGCCAAGTCAACAGCTGCACACCAAATGCCTGAGGTCTGATTAACCTGCCCCAGCAGTGAGACCACATCTGGCATAACAGCTGCCACTGGAGCTACCATTTGGTTTGATCTGTGGGAGTTCACAGTCTTTCTCCAGGATCCATCCATTTTCTGTAGGAATCAGACTGGTGATTAAATAAGGATGTGACAGGGCCCATGGACCCTGTATTTTTTAGGTCTCTAATGGCAGCACCAATCTCGGCTACTCCACCCTCAGAAAATGAAAATGATTTCCTCAGTTTGTTAGGGTGTGCGTAGGGAGCGGCTTTAGTGGTGGCCATCGGCTTCCCTTCCTGTGACTGTGCCTACTCCATAGACCGGGGCCCTGATGCTTCATTCCGGTTGCCAATTTGGAAACCCCTTGGTTTCTCCTTCCTGTCATTATGGTGATGGGAGCTCACAGCTTCTAGAAGTGAGCATCACCATCAGGCCTCTCTTACTTCAAGGCCTCATCCTCCCGTGATGCTAATGAATCCAGTTCTGTGACTGCCCCACCTGGGTCATTCCTAACCAGAGAGGAGAGTCAGCACTAAACATTTTAGTGTTGCTGGTGTCCCTTCCATCAGGAGTGTGGTGAGCCACACGGACCCTTTCATGGGACACTCAAAAGTACTTTAAAACATTTGTGGACAAATGAAATTAAAGGATAAATCTATTTTGGTGTGAAAAAAAGTTGAAAGCCATGCACAGTTTTTTTCCCCCCATAACGTACTTTTTCCATGAACTTCTATGGATTTCAATTTGCTTTGCATTAAAATAAATTTATTTTTTAAATTTGGGAGGTGGATAGCTAGCTATTGAGATCATATCTATCCACTGGCTCATACCCCACAAACCCACAACAGCTGAAGCTGGGCCAAGGGCAGAGCTAGGCTCTCTGAATGAAGCCCAGGCCTCACATGTGGCTGGCAGGTACTCAGTTACTGCTGCCTCCCAGGGTCTGTAGCTTAACTGCTAGACTAAATGCTCACTCTAAACTTACCTTTTTGCTCCACTTTCTGTGAACTTTTTGAAATCCCCTTGCAATCCTGGATCTCCTGTTCTAATGTATCTATTCCAGCCTGTCTCCCTCCCCAGGGCTTTCATCCCGTGATCAGCCAGCACCAAAGCAGTCTCTTTTCAAAGATTTACCTATTTATTTGAAAGGCAGAGTTACACAGGGAGAGAGAAGAGAGAAAAGAGAAAAAGGGAAGAGAGAGAGAATTAGAATGAATCTTCCATCCTCTGGTTCGCTCCCCAAATGGCTGCAATGGCCAGGGCTGGACCAGGCTGAAGCCACAAGCCTGGAACTCCATCTGGGGCTCCCACATCAGTGGCAGGGGCCCTAGCGCTGGGGCCATCTTCTGCTGCTTTCCTAGGCACATTAGCAGAGAGCTGGAATGGAGGTGGAACAGCCAGGGCTCAAACAGGATGCTGGTGTTGCAGGTGGTAGCTTAACCCACTGGACCACAATGCCAGCCCCGGTACACTTTATTTCTTGTAGCTAACTATTGACTAATATGACTCTCAGTCTCTGACTAGCCTCCTTTGCTTATCAACCTAACTTAGCTGAGTCTGGTGTCTGGTGTAGTGAGCCTCTTGGGGTTCCTGCTTCTGTATCAGAGTGCCTGGTTTTGAGTCTGCCTCTGTTCCTGATTCCAGCTTCCTACTACTGTTCTCCTCCAGAGTCGGCAGGTGATGGCTCAAGTACTTGCATCCCTGCTACCCACATGGGAGAGCTGGATTGCATTCTTGGCTCTTGGCTTTGGCATGACCTAACCCTGGCCATTGTGGGCATGTGGGAAGTGAACCAGGAGGTGTAAAATCCCTGTCTGTCTCTCTCTGCCTTTCAAATAAATAAACAAAAAAATGATGTTGTATGTAGATCTTATATACATATATATTTAGCATATATCTAGCCAACTTGGCTATGTTTGCTTTCCTCACATTTTCACATGCCATAGCACTTCCCTCCTGCAGGACAATTTCTCTGGTCACTACTGATAGAAACCTTAGCAACTTCGCCGGTGCCACGGCTCAATAGGCTAATCCTCCACCTGCGGCGCTGGCACTCTGGGTTCTAGTCCCGGTTGGGGCGCCGGATTCTGTCCCGGTTGCTCCTCTTCCAGGCCAGCTCTCTGCTGAGGCCCGGGAGGGCAGTGGAGGATGGCCCAGGTGCTTGGGCCCTGCACCCCATGGGAGACCAGGAGGAAGCACCTGGCTCCTGGCTTCGAATCGGTGCAGCGCTGGCTGTAGCGGCCACTGGGGGGTGAACCAATGGCAAAGGAAGACCTTTCTCTCTGTGTCTCTCTCTCACTGTCCACTCTGCCTGTAGAAAGAAAGAAAGAAAGAAAGAAAGAAAGAAAGAAAGAAAGAAAGAAAGAAAGAAAGAAAGAAAGAAAGAAAGGAAGGAAGGAAGGAAGGAAGGAAGGAAGAAAGGAAACCTTGGCAACTGAACCACCACCTACATCACGGTCTACAATACTCCAACACACTTCAGACTTCCTCTCTGCCTACTGGGTGCTAAGGGAGCCAGTTCCAAGGGACCAAATGATTGTCTGATTTCTCAGACACTCCTGTTACCTCTTGTGTGATGTGGATCTTTTGACAACCAGTCCAGTTGCCACTATTGGAGATTATAGCTATTAATGGGACAAAGCGTCAGTTTAAAAATATTAGTCTGGTATCGAGCCCTCAAGTTTTCTAATTCTGCTGAAACTCGTCATGAATTTTGGGTTTTCTAGACACATACCATCTTTCTTTTTAAATAGAGATTTTTACATTTCCCACCCAATGTTTACACTGTTTTATTTTTCTCTCATATTGTTAGAACTTTCAAAACAGTGATGAATAGCAAGCATCCTTGTCTTATTCCTGATTTTAGTAAAAGAAGAAAGTCTTTGTGGGTAGCAGCTTTGGTTTGTGCCTGTGGGATTCCATCTTGCTTGGGATCATCCATTCCTGATTGCCTGTGCCATGGATCTCAGACTAGTTAGACTACCCTACACAACCTTAGAAGCCAAATATCTTAAAATAGGTATCTCCACACATACACACTCCTCTCTGGTTCTGCTTTTTCTGAAGTCTGACTGGCATAAATACTAATTTTTCAGAAAATCATGATAATATTTGGACAAATTAAGAAGTGTATTTTGAGCATCAAAATCAACTTGGAACTTAGAATTAAAACTTAGAGCATCAGCTGCTCATTTCCAATGCTTAACAAGACTTGTGGAAAAACAGAAGTAGCAGGTAAGTTTGTTTTGGTGCAAAATATTTTTGAAATCCATGCATAATTTAATTTTTCCACAATAGATATTTTCATTAACTTCTTAAAGACTCCTCAGAAGTTTTGTATTATATATATGAATTGACTACAGGAAAGCTTCTAAAAGCTGTTTGAGTAAGATTATCTAAGTCCACACTCTTTTATTAAGTCCATTAGATATAAATTAACTACAGTCTTAAAGTTTTAATATGAAAATTATACAAAATAATATTTGACATATTTAAACATTTTCAAACACTTAGTTTTCTTCTTAGGAAAGATTATTAAAGCCAAATTTAGTTTATTATTTTTAAAATGCTATATAAGAGTATCTTGAAAATGAATGCAAATAAGGATTACTTACTAATAAAATATATATGAATTTTTTTGTTTAGGGGTCATTTAAGAACATTTTTCAGATCTTAAATTTGATGCTACTTCTTAAGTGCTTATATTGAATATTTCTTGGTGAAACACACATTCTCATTGTAGGTATATATACATACTCTTCATGTACATGGGCCCATGAAAGCACAGTTTCAATTTTTCTATTTTTGCTTTGGTTTCCCTTGATGTTTGTTAAGCGGCTCATAAATGCATTGTCTATAAATTGTCATAAACCGGAAATAGCTCAAAACTAGAATACTACAGAACAGTAGCATCAGGATAAAGAGGACAGAAGCGACCAGGTACCCACTTGGTCTGAAATGAGAGAAAAAAAAAAAGAGTAACATTAGAAGCCATTGTTCACACTTTGGACGTTAATTTATTTAGTCGAACAATTTTTGAACAGCTAGCTACTACACTATTGACAGGGAATGGTGATTAATAAGACTGGATCTGACGTGCCTTTAAGGTGTTGTAGTATCTGGGGCTGACAAGGGAGGAAACTAGGTTGAGGGATCACCACGATGAGGAAGCGGGAAGTTCTGTGGGAGCTTTGCACCACAGAAGGCCTTCCCGGGGAGGGGACGCTTGAACTGGTGGGGGTGGTGGTGGAGGAAGAGACTAAGCTGGGAACCATGTTTTAGGCCAAGGGAGATGCACATGCTAAGGCAGGGAAGTATGGACGAACCTAAAGATGACTCCCAGGCGTTCTCCATCTGAAACAGTGGAGTTTGTTGAGAGCTCAGGGGCCAGGCCAGATGCTTAGAAGGGAGGAATGGGAAATGAAATGAGGAGGGAAGGGGCCAACTAAGAGAGCCAGCTTATTTTATGCCAAGCTAGACAGCATGGATTTTTATCCTAAAGGCAAGAGGCAGTTTCGGAGACATTATGTGGGACTGACATTTTAGACGGCTGGTTCTGATTACATTATGCACAATGGATGAAAGGGAAGCATGAGTGTGGGAAACAGAAAAACCAGTTATAAAGGATTTGTAATAATCCATGTAAGCTATAATGAGGGTTTTAATCAGACACTGAAGAAATGGAGCAAAGTAAAAGCTTTAAGATACATTGAGAGGCCGGCGCTGTGGCTCACTAGGCTAATCCTCCGCCTTGCGGCGCCAGCACACCAGGTTCTAGTCCCGGTCGGGGCGCCGGATTCTGTCCCGGTTGCCCCTCTTCCAGGCCAGCTCTCTGCTGTGGCCCAGGAGTACAGTGGAGGATGGCCCAAGTGCTTGGGCCCTGCACCCCATGGGAGACCAGGATAAGCACCTGGCTCCTGGCATCAGATCAGCGCAGTGCGCCGGCTGCAGCGCACCAGCCGCGGCGGCCACTGGAGGGTGAACCAACGGCAAAGCAAGACCTTTCTCTCTGTCTCTCTCTCTCACTGTCCACTCTGCCTGTCAAAAAAAAAAAAAAAAAAGATACATTGAGAAATCCAAGTGTCTGACAAATATAAAAAAAGAATGCTCAGCATCACTGCCATCGAGAAAAGGCTGATAAAAAAAACCACAATGAGATATCATTTCACTCCAGGTAAAATGGCTGTTCTCAAAAAAGACAAAAAATTATAAATGCTGGTGAGGATGTAAAGAGAAGGAAACACTTTTACAGTTAGCGGGGGATGCAAATTAGTCCATTATGGAAGTTCCAACAGTACGGAAGTTCCTCAAAAACCAAAAGTTGATTAATCATATGACCCAGTTATCCCACTCCTGAGGATGCAGCTGGAGGAAATGCAATTAGCACATGAAAGAGATGTCTACCCTTCCATGTTCACTGTAGCACTACTCACAGTACCAAGATGCAGAATCAACCTAGATGTCCATTAATGGGTGAGTGGATAAAGAAAATGTGATATAACCAGGTGTGCGTCTGCGTGTGCGTGTGTGTGTGTGTGTGTTCCGCTTATTAGATGCCATGCTCAGCTGGGTGCCAGGCCTCTGACTCTTCCCCTGGGACTCTGCATGGGTGCCTCCTATCAGAGTAGATTTATTTCTTAGTCCAAACACTGGGCTATTTTCTATATTGGTGTTCTAATATTTAATGTTAGTTTTTGGTTCCTTTCAAATTGCAGGTATTTGTTTTCAGGGTTACACTTGCCCCAAGACACTTTAGTCTGGTTTTTGTCCCCTGTGGCTATAAACTTAATCTGGCTCCAGGGAATGGCTTTTAGAAAATTAATTAGCATAGCCACCTGATACCTGCCAGGCACGGTGTTAGGTGCTGGTGATACAATGAGTGAAAACAGACATGGTTCTCATCCTAAGGAAACTTGCTTGCATTTTAGTGGGACACAATCATTAACCAAACTATGGTTAAATGAATCTAAAATTCAAATTATGATAAGAACTAAGAAGGAGAGCAGACAATGCAGTGGTTTACTATTGCAGGACTTGACCTGGTGAATGGGATCAATAAATGGCTTCATTGGGAGAAGATAATTATCCTGAAATCTAACGAATAAACAGAAGTGAAACTGGCAAATTAGGGAGAGAGTGGAAGGAAGGGATTCCAGATAGAGGGCAAAACATGTGCACAAGGGGCTGGCGCTGTGGTGCAACGGCACCTCATATGCATCCCATATGGGCACTGGTTCAAGTCTGGGCTGCTCCACTTCCAATCCAGCTCCCTGCTGATGGCCTGGGAAAGCAGCAGAAGATTACCCAGGTCCTTGGGCCCCTGTAACCACCTGGGAGACCCCGAAGAAGTTCCTGGATCCTGGCTTTGGCTTGGCCCAGCCCCAGCCTTTGTAGCCATTTGGGGAATGAACCAGTGTTTGGATAATCTCTGTTAACTCTGGCTTTCAAATAAATAGTAGATAAATCTTTTAAAAATATGCAAAGGTCCTGCTATGTGACAGAAATCTGGAGAAGGCTAGGAGCTGAAAGAAGGTTGTTGGACCTGGAGCTGCCAGAATCAGGGTGATATGATGATTCCAGATGAGACTGGGAAGGAGGTGGAGGCTTAGATCATGCAAGACCTTACAGGCCATGTTCTTTAATTTATAGAAAAAAACTTAAGGATTTCAAGATACTAAAATTAGCAATCTGAAACGATTACTCTGGCGCAGGAGTAGATGGGGAAGATCAGTTCCAAGCCCCTGCAGGGATGATAGGCTGGCTTTGTGCCATGGTGATGGAGCGAGGGAAAAGTGAGTGTACTCAAGAGCTATTTAGGAGATAAACTGAATGGGAGCCAGGGATGGCTTGATGGCTTGGATGAGATGAGGTGGGTGGAGAGAGGAATGAATGTGAATCCTAGGCTTTGGTTTTGAACTTCTGACTCCGAGGTGTTTGGCTTCTATAGTTGGAGGTATTCTTTCCTGGAAGAGGAATTCTTTCCTGGAAACCAGGATCACCCTGCTGTTCAATTCCAAAGGGCACCATTTATATCAGTCTATGTGAAGGCATTTCCTGGACCTGTGCAAGAACCAATCCACATGACCATGTGTAATGACCTTTATGGGAGAGTTTTAATGAGTATGACGAAGCACAGGTCAAGGGAGCAGGTAGCAAGATCACAAGCTCACTTTCGGGCATGTCTGGTTTGACTAGTTTTTGAGACATCCAAGGGAAGAGGTTAGTAGACAACGGGCTATTTAGCTTTGATGTGGGAGAGGTTTATGATCCAGGAGTCATGTGAATTTAGCTATTAACTGAATTCACGCTTGAGGATGAGCTTGCTAGAGTAAGAAGCACAGAAGACAGGACTGAGCCTCAAAGGAGACCAACATTTACTTGCTGGTAGAGGAAGGGAGCTCTTCTTGAAATGAGAGAGAGAGAGAGAGAGAAGGGAAAGAAAAAGTTTAGGAAAACGCATAGGGTTATACAAAATCCAAAGGAAGAGACAACTGCTGATGAAAGATCAAATAAGGACTGAAACATACCTGTTAGATTAATATGGTCAAAGTCATTCTAAGAGAACTCAGTGATGGAGGGGTAAGACGGATGGATTAGATAAACAGGACTGGATCCCAGGGAAATAGACACCGAAGTGCAGACAAAGCTTTTGAAAAGTTTTGTCCTATAAAGGAAAAACCTGACTGGAAAGATCTAGTAGAGAGATCTTACTGGAAACTTACTGGAAAGATCTAGTAGAGAGAGTACGTTGAATGTACAGAAAAGAGAAGGAAAATTTGATTTGGAAACTTCCTAAGAAAGTGGGAAGCAATAGGGCACAGATGGAAGAATGATATTTAAAAAGGATAAATGATATTTCCTTTATTGTAATGAGGAGAGATGAGGTACAGTTATTAGTAGATATTTTTATGTTTGGAATTGGGAATAGAGGGTGTCCTTGTCTGTCTGATAACTTCTAATTTCTCTACGAACGTGGAAATAAGCTCATCTGATGATTGTTGAAAGCAGGTCTGAGGAGGAAGCTAATGAACCAAGTTCTGAAAATAATTGTTGCAGAGAGTATTAGGGTGGGCTGTCCAGAGAAAGACAGTAAGAGTACCAGGCAGTTGGGTGGCCTATTGAAGGCTGGTAGCAATTTGTCCTATTGTGTGACTTGCTTTACCAGGTCTGGACTGCTCAAGTGTAGTCACAGAGAAAGTAGGTGGTTGGGGATTTTCCATATGGGTGACCAAGTCCTGGAAGGGTGAGTACTGCTAAGTGTGGTATTGAAAGAACGGACTTTGAAAAGTAAGGAATGGGAACCAGAAAAGAAGATATTGAAAGTAGAGGTACAGATTCCAGTGAGGATGAAGAAGGCTTGTACAGGCCATAGCGGAATCCACAAAGCGGAAGGGCAGGAGGTTGTGGTCAGGGAATGCAACACCTGGATTGATGTTTTAGGATCAGAGAGGTTACAAGTAATGACAAGGTCCAAGGTGCGTGGAGGGGAGTGGTGGCCAGAGTGCAATAGCAAGGAGGTCACCGGGACCATGACATCAGATGCTGGACATAGTGGCCACGTGGACACCGAGAGTGGGGCTTGAAGTAGAGAGTAACCCTGCGGCAGGGCTGGTCAGCAGTGCATAAAGAGCAGCATGATGACAGGAAGACCTGGGGCTGCAGCAGACACCATGAGCCTCAAAGGATCAGAGTGTGTTTTGCTTTGTTGTAGAAGAACCAGGACAAATAACGATCTGGAAGTGGTAATGGGGCCCTGGGGTACATAGGGGTAAAAAAAATAGCATCGCTCGATAGGGCTGAGGGGTGAAGCAGTATCCTCAGGGAGAGCCTGGTTTCAAATCAGGAGATAGATGAAGGTTTCAGAGGGCATTTGAGGACTTGGTTCAGTGATGGCAATTCCAGAGGGCAAAATGGAAAACCTGGGAATGGGGGAGGGGTTGAGTGCTGGGCTAGAGGCAGGGAAAAACTAAACTCTGTGTCTTCTACAAACTGCTCTCCAGTCACTGCACGTGAAAAGCGTCCTCTTACTAGGGAGACCACCACCAGCTGCCCCCTGTCTGCCTCTGGTACCCTCCAGGGGCCCAGGTGTTAATATGAGTTGAACTATGGTCACTAACCTAATGGACCACCCCCTATACTATCATTGTATTCCCTAACTCTGACATCAAGCTGCTGGCAGGTGACAGCTGGGCAAGTGGCTGAGATCCTCCACCTTTTCCCTTTCTCTTCTCTTCCCTAACTCAGCCTACTCCTTGTTCTGTTGGTGGGTAATTGGGTGTGCCTACTGTTCTCTCTCTTTAAAAAATTATTTATTTATTTATTTATTTATGAGGTAGAGAGTATGGGTGGGGAAGCATGATCCCATTTGTTGGTTCTGCTGCTTCCTGCCTCAAGTGCAGTGGTCTGGGCCGGGCTGGGGCTGAAGCTGGAGCTGGGAACTCAATCCAGGTCTCCCATGTGGGTGGCAGGAGCCCAGTCACCATTGCCTCCCAGGGACTGCATTAGTAGGAAGCTGGAATCAGAAGCTGAAGCATGGGACCAGCGCTGTGTGCAGTGGGTTAAGCCGCCATCTGCAGTGCCGACATCTCATATGGACACTGTTTCGTGTCCCAGCCTTCCGCTGATGCACCTGGGAAAGCAGCAGAGGACGGCCTAAGTGTTTGGGCCCCTGCTCCCACGTGGGAGACCCAGATGAAGCTCCTGTCTCCTGGCTTCATCCTGGTCCAGTCTCGGCTGTTGTAGCTATTTGGGAAGTGAACAAGTGGATGGAAGATCCGCCTTTTCCCCTACCCCGCCCCGCCTGTTTACTCTGTCTTCCAAATAAATAAGTAAATCTTCAAGAAAAAAATAAAGAAGCTGGAGCACGGAATCAAACTCAAGTACTCTGAAGTGGACAGGGGCCTCTAGACCCCTAGGCTAAACACCTGCTCTTGGATCCTTCTATTACTATTCACCTAGATCACAGGTACCAATCTGAAGAGGAAAAGTCACTGCAAAAAGACTATACATACTTCTCAATTAGAGAAATTAGAAACAACTCGGGTTATATCATTTGTAGATTATTCACAATAGTACCCCCATGAGCACACAAAATATTGAAGAATCAGTGACATTTAAATCCAGGTCCTGAGTAACTTAATTGTGTATCTTCTATTTTTGTTTAACATTTTAACACAAAACTTGAAAACCACCTGGCCCAGGGCAAAGACTAAGTCATCCGAGGACCTAACTTGAGAATGAAGACTTTTTACTCCCAGAGAACTGGAACTGAGTCCTGTCTGTTTCCTGGGCATGTCAGAATGAGGGGTAGTGGCTGAGGGCTGGCTCGGGCTGAGAGTGGGAGAGAACATGGCCTCCACGTTCCCTCTGCTGACTTCCACTGTCCATCAAGTCCATGGAGTTGAGAGAGGTGTCTGCTAAGGCAGTAGCTGCTGAGTGTAATCGGACAAAAGGGAACCCTTAATCTAGCTGTAATTCTCAGGAATTTCTTCTGCTTTATCCCTGGGGTAAAACAACCTACAATTTTTAGGGAGTCGTATATAGGGTATACATAATAGGGCTTCTTGAAAGTAGCGTTTATGTCATTTGGGAAGACAGGTTTCAAAGATAGCCCAAAAAAATTTTTTTTAAATATAGGCATATGAAAGCCACTATACACCACATAATAGTATTTTGTTTGGTAGGATTTAAGCTGGGGACCCTGAAGAGCAATTGTACAGGCTCTGTTTTGGGGAGACATTTGGAAGAAGAGCTTTTCCTTTTTGGCTGCCACTCGCATGTTTTAGAAACCCCCGCACTGGCCGGCGCCGCGGCTCACTAGGCTAATCCTCCGCCTAGTGGCGCCGGCACACCGGGTTCCAGTCCCGGTCGGGGCGCCAGATTCTGTCCCGGTTGCCCCTCTTCCAGGCCAGCCCTCTGCTGTGGCCAGGGAGTGCAGTGGAGGATGGCCCAGGTGCTTGGGCCCTGCACCCCATGGGAGACCAGGAAAAGCACCTGGCTCCTGGCTCCTGCCATCGGATCAGCGCGGTGCGCCGGCCGTGGCTGCCATTGGAGGGTGAACCAATGGCAAAGGAAGACCTTTCTCTCTGTCTCTCTCTCTCACTGTCCACTCTGCCTGTCAAAAAAAAAAAAAAAAAAAAGAAACCCCCGCACTAAAACGCAATCAGGTGCCACCTATTACCTGGAAGTCACTCCATAGGTCTCTATTGAGAAGAAGGCTGTTAGGTTACAGAAACTGCAAAATAGAAAAATAACATTAAAGATTAAATTAAGTACAATGTGTTTTTAAAAAATACTTCCGCATCTCTATGGTAACAATCAAGCCACATATAATCTTAGTTAACGTCATTTTCTTTCTTTTTAAAAATCAATTTATTTGAAAGGCAGAGAGAGACAGAGACAGAGAGACAGAGATAGCTTCCATCCATTGGCCCACTCCCCGAATGACTTACAACAGTGAGGTCTGGACCAGGCTGAAGCCAGGAGCCAGGAACTCCTTCCTGGTTCTCCCCGCAATCCCACTCTGTTGTTCTACCTTTCAAATAAATAAATCTTTAAAAAAAACCACAAGAGAAAATGGCATTGGGGCCTCTGCTTAAACTGTAAGACAATCACATTTAAATATTCTGTTTTACTATGTTTTCCTATTAATTTTGTATTTCTCCCTTTCATTTTTTCTTTTAATTAACTAGCTTACTATTCTGCTCCTTTTCTTTAAACATTTTTTTAAGATTATTTATTTATTTGAAAGTTGGAGTTACACAGAGAAGCAGAGAGAGAGAGAGAGAGAGAGAGAGCGAGCAAGCGAGCAAGCTTCCATCTGCTGGTTCACTCCCCCAATTGGCCACAATGGCCAGAGCTGGGCTGATCTGAAGCAAGGAACTAGGAGCTTCTTCCAGGTCTCCCACATGGTTGCAGGGGCCCAAGCACTTGGGCAATCTTCTACTGCTTTCCCAGACCATAGCAGAGAGCTGGATAGGAAGTGGAGCAGTCAGGACTCGAACTGGCATCCATATGGGATGCCGGCACTGCAGGTGGCAGCTTTACCCTCTATGCCACAGCGTTGGCTCCCGTGTTCCTTTTCTTAACACCTTCAATTACTTAACTGTGGGTGTCTCCCAATGCTTTGCTCTTCTTTCTTTAGAATCAGTTAACTCATGTAAGCTTATGGAGTCACTATAGGGGATAATCCCATTTGTTACTTTATCCTCAGCTCTTCCCTCCTACCCCAGACTCAAATTAGAATTTTTCTTAAAGATTTATTTATTTATTTGAAAGGCAGAGTTGCACAGAAAAAAAAGAGAGAGAATTTTTCATCTGCTGGTTCACTCCCTAGATGGCTGCAATAGCCAGGGATGGGCCAGGCTGAAGCCAGGAGCCATGAGCTTCATCCGGGTCTCTCATATGGGGTGCAGGGGCCCAAACATTTGAGCCATCTTCAACTGCTTTTCCCAGGCCATTAACAGGGACCTGAATTAAAAGTGAAGTAGCTGGGACATGAGCTGGTGCCCACATGAGATGCTGGCATTGCAGGTAGTAGCCCTACCTGCTAAGCCACAACACTGGTCCCCAAATTAGAATTTTTAACTGTCCATAGTATATCATCTTCATGCAGATCACTCATTGTCCTCACAAATTCAAAGTCAAAATTCTAATCTCAGTAACTCCCCCAGAGAAAAACCACCTTCTTCCTAGCCTGGTCAAAAAAAATGTTATTATTTTAATTACCTAGTCTAGAAAACTCAAAACCCCGGGGATTCCTTCTTTTTCTTCATTTGACATGTGTTCACGAGTTTTCACCCCTTTCTTTCCATTCTTATTGCCACCAGGCCTTCCTCTGACATTTTGCCACGTTAACTTCACTCTTCTCATTTATCGACATAGAATTTATTTTCTGTCTATTTCATTTTTTGTGTTGTTCTCAGGCTAATTTTCCTGGTACTATGTTTTTATCACAACACTCTCCTAGGGAGGATACTAAAGAGGCTCTCTAGGACACAGACAGAAATTTCCTTAAAAATCATTATTGCCGCTGGCACCGCGGCTCAATAGGCTAATCCTCCACCTAGTGGCGCGCCAGCCGTGGCAGCCATTGGAGGGTGAACCAATGGCAAAGGAAGACCTTTCTCTCTGTCTCTCTCTCTCACTGTCCACTCTGCCTGTCAAAAACAAACAAACAAACAAACAAACATTATTGCCTTAAATTTATCTCTCTTCTTTGTTTCCCACATTCCTCACTTGGGGGACTTTCCATGTGTCTTCCTGACTCCTCAGGCAGTAGAGAGAGAATGCGCTAATATTTAGATTCCCTCTATTATTAGTACAATTTCTTTCATCTAATGTGTTTATCCTATTCCTCTGGCAATGCAAATTCTACTAAAGGTTCGATGTTCTCCCGAAAGTTTTCTTTTACTGCTCAAAAGAGCACTAATGTTTCCCATCTCTGAATTATCATTGCGCCTATCAGCAGTACAAATGATTATATCTAAAAGACATCTCATGTATTTGCTTGGATTTCACCTCTCTTGGTTTGGATGTGTGCCTCCACTCCTTCCCCAGGCAGCTTCACTAGTTACATTAAAATCACCTTGAAGTCTGCGCTTGTGCTTGTGTTTGAGTTGGACTAAGATGGCAATGTAACATAGTAGAATACTCAGAATGTAATGACAAGGTGATTAATCTATTTAATATTCAACATAAAATCCCCACCCCCATAATATGCTTCATATAATTGCTACAAAATGAAAAAGTAAATACGAAAATAACAAGTATAACAATAATTGGGCATCTAGATGGCATCAAATTAAATCAATAAAATAAAAATTTAACTTTGAGGAATTAATAATGAAATTATTATAGTAAAACATTTATATTCACCTATAGTTTGGATCCAGTATCTTCACACGAAACACATACATTCCAGAATGATCCAAGGGCCAGATTAAATGATTACCATTAGAACTGTTGATAATCTCATATGGTTGATTTAAGTCTCCTGGTTTTCCATGAGCATAAGAAAAACAGTGCTTATAGTTCTGAATAAGAAACACAGACAAAAACTTTAAGGTCATTTTCTGACTTTAATAAACAAAATTACAGTCTTGTATATTTATCTTTTTTTTTTTTTTTTTTTTTTTTTGACAGGCAGAGTGGACAGTGAGAGAGAGAGACAGAGAGAAAGGTCTTCCTTTGCCGTTGGTTCACCCTCCAATGGCCGCCGCGGCCGGCATGCTGTGGCCAGCGCACCGTGCTGATCCGAAGGCAGGAGCCAGGTGCTTCTCCTGGTCTCCCATGAGGGTGCAGGGCCCAAGCACTTGGGCCATCCTCCACTGCACTCCCTGGTCACAGCAAAGAGCTGGCCTGGAAGAGGGGCAACCGGGACAGAATCTGGCGCCCTGACCGGGACTAGAACCCGGTGTGCCGGCGCTGCTAGGTGGAGGATTAGCCTGTTGAGCCGCAGCGCCGGCCTGTATATTTATCTTAGAAAATCAATTACAGGCCATTGCTGTGGCTCACTTGGCTAATCCTCCGCCTAGCGGCGCCGGCACCCCTGGTTCTAGTCCTGGTTGGGGCGTCGCATTCTGTCCCGGTTGCTCCTCTTCCAGTCCAGCACTCTGCTGTGGCCCAGGAAGGCAGTGGAATATGGCCCAAGTGCTTGGGCCCTGCACCTGCATGGAAGACCAGAAGGAAGCACCTGGCTCCTGGCTTCGGATCAGCGCAGCACCGGCCGTAGCGGCCACTAGGGGAGTAAACCAACGGAAGGAAGACCTTTCTCCCCTCTGTCTCTCTCTCACTGTAAATAACTCTCTCTCTGTCTCTCTCTCTCTCACTGTCTAACTCTGCCTAGCAAAAAAAAAAAAAAAAAAAAAAAAAAAAAGAGAGAGAGAGAGAGAGAGAGAGAAAGAAAATCACTTAGAGAAGGAATACCAATTCTATTCTACCGCTGCAGAATACAAATGTGCTCCACACCATTTTTAGAGACCATAGGGAGTTAAAAGTCAGATAAAAAAGTAAATCTCAGTGAAAGCAAATGCTTCATTTATTTGATATTTGTAAACAATGACAGTATTGTATGTAAGCATATCATTTCCTGAAATCAACAAAGCACAAAATCTTCCAAATATGCTTATCCTAGGACAGAAACTGTTGATCGTAAGGTATGAACACAAGTGTCAAGATGATGGTATGTTCTTGAGATTTTATCTTCCCCCAGAACTGCCGTCAACCTCCGTTACCACTACTGTGCCTCACTGTGGGTCTCAGTATATGAACCAGCAGCAATGCTGAGTTATCTGCACTCAGACATCTCATTGCAATAGGAGCCTATATTTTAAAAAGTCAATTTGTAAAAATAAGAAACCAATTAGCTATCTGAGCAGACAACAACACACGGCATAGCTTGCTGAGTTCTTTCAGGTCCTCCTTCATCTCTGGGAGCTTCTCCTTTGAAGGAAGCAAGAAGCCCTGTGAGGGCATTATGTAGAGAGTGTCTGAGCGTTTGCCTGTCACCACCCTTCATGGTTGCTGTGGCCTGAATGTATCCCCCAGAATTCATGTGTTGGAAAGTAGGCTGTCATGAGTAGATTAATACTGGTGTAACTGGAGTGGGTTCCTTACTGTGGGACGGAGTTCCTTATGAGAGGGTTAGTCTGTCCCGCCTGTTTACCTTGCCCTGCCCCTTCCACCTTCTGCCCTGAGATGATGCAGCAAGAAGGCCCTTGCCAGATACCAGCCCTTGATTTTGGACATCACAGCCTCTAGAATTGTGATCCAATACATTTTTGTTCATTGTAAGTCACCCAGTATCAGGTACTCTGTTACAACAGCACAAAATGGGCTAAAACAATGCTATTTTTCTCTTTTCCTATCTATCTTGAAATACTTCTCTTTCATGAATAACCTCCCAGTCCACAGACCATGGGATCAATCAAGCTCTTGCACAGTCTCAAAGGGACTTCCCCATGGCAACCACAGGAACAAAAGCGTCATGATTAGATGGTGATAATGACGAACTCTAGGAAGTGGCTTACTGCTTACTGCTGTATTTTAGTCTGGCAAACAGTAGGTAGTCAGTATTTATTTGTTGAATTAATGTTTAATCTTAATTTAAAGCATTGCTAATTTTTTTAAATATTTTAGAGCTAGCTACATTGTCTGTACTTGTAACCTAAGCTGAATGAACTCCATTAATAGAAAAGTAGGGGCTTGCACTGTGGTGTAGCAGGTAAGCCACCACCTGTGATGCTGGCATCACATTTGGGCACCGGTTCAAGTCCTGGCTGCTCTACTTTGAATTCAGCTCCCTGTTAATGGCCTGGGAAAAGCATCATAAGATGGCCCCAGCACTTGGGACTCTGCACCCATGTAGGAGACCCAGAAGAAACTCCTGGCTCCTGACTTCTGGCTTCAGCCTGGCCCAACCCTGGCCATTGCAGTCACTTGGGGAGTGAACCAGTGGATGGAAGACTTCTCTTTCCCTCTGCCTCTCCCTCTCTTTCCATGACTCTTCCTTTCAAATAAATAAGTCTTTAAAAAGGAAATAATTTTACAGATAATTTAAAAGATAGATTTGACCAATAATTTGAGGAGTTCATGGAAAAGGAATTATAAGATAAGTTGGGACAGGCATTCAGACTAATGGTTAAGATGCTTGAGTCAGGCCGGCGCTGTGGCTCACTTGGCTAATCCTCTGCCTGCGGTGCTGGCACCCCGGGTTCTAGTCCAGTCCCAGTTGGGGCACCAGATTCTGTCCCGGTTGCTCCTCTTCCAGGCCAACTCTCTGCTGTGGCCTGGGAGTGCAGTGGAGGATGGCCCAAGTACTTGGGCCCTGCACCCGCATGGGAGACCAGGCTTTGGATCAGTGCAGTGCACCGGCCGTAGCAGGCATTTGGAGGGTGAACCAACGGAAGGAAGACCTTTCTCTCTGTCTCTCTCTCACTAACTCTGCCTTTCGGGGGAAAAAAAAAAAAAAAAAAAGAAAGATGCTTGAATCAAACGCTGGAGTGCTCTGGCTCCTGACTGCAGTTTCCCGCCAGTGCCGATCCCAGGAAGCAGCAGATGCTGCTCAAGTAATTGGGTTCCTGGCACTGCGTGTGGGAGGCCCCAGCTGGTTTTAATTTCTGCTCTCCTCCCTCAGCCATTGCAGGCAAGTGGGGAGTTTGGGCAGTGAACCAGCTAACTGGAATTCTCTCTCTCTGTGAAAAAAAAAAAAAAAAAAAACTATATTAAAAGATACATCAATGCTAACTAAACTGACTTGTTCTTCACCTACTGAACACATGTGTTGACTTACCACACTATATCCCATGAGTATGTATAATTTAAAATCTTTTTTTAATTAAAAAAGATAGGTTCATTTTGGTGCAAAAAAAGTTTTTAAATCCATTCATCTTTTTTTGTAATACATCTTTACTGTGAACTTTCTTAAGATCCCTCATAGGTATCTTGGATTAGCCCTATCCACTTCCTCAGCAATTCTCGGGGACTTTCACTGCTCATCTGCTCCTTATTTGTTCAAGGCATTGGTATGCTAGGCAACCATGCCCTAGTTTCTCTGCAGAACCTTATATTGACCAAAGAGTTCACTTTGAAATTTCTGCAGACTGCTTCATTCAAGTGTGAGGTACAATCCTGATTCTATCTCCTGTGCTTTCCTGGGCATCATGAAATGTGAGGATATGGGCCCTTATCCCACTCACTGTTCCCTCTGTTCTAATAATCAACTCTTAATTTCTTCTGGACGAAACTGTTGTCTGTAGCTAACTTAATAGTACTACTTTAATTAAATGAGAATTGCAGCGTTACCTCTTCCTGAGAGCAGTAGTTGTGGATATCTGCATTCTTCCCCTGCCCAGTGTCATTACCATTCTCAACAGAACTCCAACTCCTTTTGGATGTCATCAGAGTTGGGAGAGTAATTTCAAGTCCATGCCTTTCATAATCAAAGCAGACAAACACAGATCCTTTCTCTCCCCATCCAAGGACATAGCTGGGGTGGGGAGAGGGAAGCTCATCACATTAGCAATCGAAGTTCTATCCCAAGAATTAGAATTAAAAATGAGGGACACTGCAAGGGAGTAATGGTTACAGATAAGTCACCATAGTAGCAGCATCCCACTTAGGCTGAAGAAGAACTGTTTGGAGTTGAAACATTTTAGGCTAAAATGCATTTCAGGTCCGAATGCATTTCAGTGTTAAGTCACTGAATTCAGAGCAATACCCATAGGCGGGACATCCAGGTGAATAACCATAGGTATGAACTGAACCCGAGAATAGACTACATGGCGCAGAAGGCCCAGCTGCCTGTACGCTGGCCAACTGCCTGTGCTGTGGGGCTCCTCCTAATGTTGTGATCCTGTCAAGGGAAAGTACAACCCAAGAGTGGAAATCAAGGATGGAACATTCATGTGTTTTAGCTCCACTTTAGGGGCGTTCTAGGAAAATTATGGAAGACATTTGTATGAATAACAAAGGATAAGACACAAGAGGGACAGAATTGGGTTGTGCATAACAGAGTTGTATGGATCAGTACTATAACTATATTTTTGGATAAAAAAGGTCTATTATGTACCCTCTGGCTTTGGTTAGAGTTGTAAATAACCCAAATGTTGGGGCTGGGGCTGTGGCACAGCAGGTTAAGCCACGGCCTGCAGCATCAGCATCCCACATGGGTGCTGGTTCAAGCCCTGGCTGCTCCACTTCCAATCCAGTTTACTGCTAATGCACCTGGGAAAGCAGCAGAAGATGGCCCAAGGCCCTGGGGCCCTGCACCCACGTGTAAGATCCAGAAGAAGCTCCTGGCTCCTGGCTCCTGGCTTTGGCATGGTCCAGCCCCAGCCATTGCGGCCATTTAGGGAGTGAACCAGTGGATGGAAGACCTCTCTTCCCGTTCTCTGTAACTCTGCCTTTTAAATAAATAAATAAATAAATAAATAAATATTTTTTTATAAAAAGAACCCAAATGCTGTGTGCACTCATGTTCCCACACCTGCTCTGTGTGATGGTGGTCTCTGTGGAAGGAAACTCTTAAGAAAGCCGGACAAATTGGCTCATGCATGGGGTGGTGTGAGCTGCATATGCTCTGAGGAAACAGCCTGGGCTACGTTGAGGGAGTCCATGGTGATAGACAGTGCCTGGCACACATACTGCCCGAACTGCCTAATCATCCAGGAAGGAATTTTGAAGAGATAGGGATACTGCATACAGGCTAGTACGTCCTTAGTGTGATAAAACAACAGAAGCAACAACAGGTTCAGGAGCGAGAGCCTAGAAGAGGCACCTCAATGGAGACATATGAGGATTAGCTATTCCAAGAGGAGGTATAAAAGCTGAAAAGTAGGGGCCGGTACTGTGGTGTGGTGGGTGGAGCTGCCGCCTGCAGTGCTGGCATCCCATATGGGCACCGGTTGGAGTCCTGGCTGCTCCACTTCCCATCTGGCTTTCTGCTATGGCCCGGGAAAGCAGTAGAAAATGGCCCTGGTCTTTGGGCCCCTGCACCCGCGTGGGAAACCTGGAGGAAGCTCCTGGCTCCTGGCTTTGGATGGGTGTAGCTCTGGCTGTTGCGGCCAGTTGTGGGGTGAACCAGCAGATGGAAGACCTCTCTCTCTGTCTCTACCTCTCCTCTCTCTGTGTAACTCTGACTTTTGAATAAATAAATAAATCTTAAAAAAAAAAAACCTGAAAAGTAGAAGGAATGAGGAAAGAGTATCAATCTGTAGCTTTGCCATAGAGTTAGCCATAATAGCAACTGTCCAGATAAGCCTATGTACAAAACGTTCTAACCTTATGTTTATAGGGTCTGGCATGATTGGACAAGGAGTGAGGTGACTCAGACTCATTAGAGTGAATGTCACCTCTAACTACACACTTGCTAAACCTGTGGGGATCTAGGAGTTTGTGCTTCCATTTGTCCTGGACCTTGTGGCTCATCTCCCGGTAACATATCTCATGGTGGCTGCGTCCTTCCTAAATTTAGTCTTTGAATCCAAAAATACCGCTGGATTGATCCAAATGGCATGGATTTTTTGTTATTTCCTTTACACTTTCCCTATATCTTGACATTTGTCAATACAATGATATCACAGATAATAATATTCTATCTTAATATTGGAGGTAGGCAGGAACACACCACTTAGTTATTTTATTTGGCTATATAATGTTTCATAAATACATTAATTACTTCTCTAGCTCTTTCATTTTATCTTCATTTACACACACTCTACTATCATGTTTGCAAAGGTTTTTTTCTTTTTGTGACAATTCACACTGAAACTATATCTACTTTCTGTCTTTGCAAGTCATTTTCTTTTATATAGGTGAATCGTTATATAACTGTTTTACTCAGAAGTGCCTTACCTAAAACTCTTGATCCTGTGAAATTTAATAAAGTACACTTTTATGCTGTTTTGATAAATTATAAAAATAATTGTTTTAAAGATTTATTTATTTGAAAGGCAGAGTTACAGAGATAAAGGTCTTCCATCTGCTGGTTCACTCCCCAAATGGCCGCACACCCGGAGCTTCTTCCAGGTTTCCCAAGCAGGTACAAGAGCCCGAGCGCTTGGGCCATCCTCTACTGCTTTTCCAGGCCATAGCAGAGAGCTGGATTGGAAGTGGAGCAGCTGGGACTCAAACTGTCACCCATATGGGATGCAGGTGGTGTTTTTACTCACTACACCACAGCACTGGCACCCCTCCCCCCGCCCCAAGATAATTGTTTTAAACTACATCTTTTACCATTTCTGGTCTTTGCATTCATACCAATGTAATCTTTAGCAATATTCACAAAACAATATGTTGGATGTAGATTAATGAAAACCAAGTAAAAAGCTCTCATTAGTTTTTGATGTATCATAACTTGGAAACACAAATTATCTTTATATATGTGTGTGTGTGTGTGTATGTATGTATGTATGTATGTATTGGTGGAGGGTTCTACTGAATCAACAGTGAACTTTGAAACTTCTTGCTCCACCAATGCAGCTGATACATGGGCCCATGGTCTTAACTGAAAAAAATCTGGCATATACTAACTACGTGCAGGAACTGAACATTTCACAGCATAAAAAGGTGATGCAATCAGGACTTACCTTATGTTATTACATGTACTTATTGTACATGGACATCTGGGAAGATTGTTTCTAATTTCCTACTTGGTTATCTCCTAATATGAATGATAATATCTACTGACCTCCATTCCATTTGTGTTACATCCTCGTATTTCCTATCGTAGTATTAGATGTACCCCTCTCCCTGCAAGGATTGTCTTTTGCTGCCTTTTCACTTGGAAGCCACTTGATGAAGTCATCTAGTCTGCAAAAACAAACCTCTCCCAGCCTCAGGAATCGCACCCCATTTCTAGCTAAAGCCTTTCCAGTCTAGTATTTTCAGCCACATCCAGAAACTGAATTCCCATGCTGGACAAGAATGACATGTATGTAGCCAGCCGTGCAACGCCCACATTCTTCCTTTCCTTCGCAATCTCCAACTCGGAAGAACTTGTGACAACACCACGTTTGCTCATGAATTCTTTAGCTTTTTCTCTGAGAACTTAGTCCCTGCAGCAACTGCCCAAATCTTTCATGTAAGCGCCATTCATTCATGTAGAAACAGAAGAATGTTAGCAATCGGTGTGGCTCCAAGAACTGGAAGGCTCTCTATTTCATTTCAGGTCTATCTTTCAGGAAGGAAGCATCCTTGACTGCTGCTGACTTGAGTGAATATTCAGTCACATCCCTCAGCAGGAGTAGCTTTATCCACCAGGGCATAACTAACCAGTCCTTTCAGGTACCTGCTTTCTGAAATATTCAGACTCCAGACGGAATTCACCCTTTTAGTGGCAAGCTCTGTTTCTCATACAAAGTGAATTGAACATTTAGGGCCTGGCTGGACACTTCAGAATCTTTCTAGATTGTCATGTGCTATTTCAATGGCTTCCCAGATGTAGTCCCCAGAACAGCTGTATCAGCATCACCTGGGAACTTGTTAGAAATATTAGACTATTGGCACTCTACCCCAGATCTGCTGAATCAGAAACTCTCGGGTGGGACCCAGCAATTTATTTTAACAAGCTCGCCAGGTGATTTTGACAGTTGCTGAAGTTTGAGCATCACCGCACTAAGTGACATGGATTGAGGCAAGCTCCATGATTTGTAATGACCTAGTATGCTCACGCTGTGTTGGCAGGATCTCAGCACATTCAGGTGCCCTGAGTACAATTCTGGGATATAGACTATGATTTACACCTATCCCCAATTCCTTCAAAAAGAAGTAGGGAGGGTAAATTTTGTTTTACCTGATTCAATTATTAGTTTAATTCCTTATTCTTTTAAAGTAGTTGAATAGTCCTCTTTATAATAGGTATATGATCTATGATTGGTTAATTTGTTCCACAAATATATATTGAGCACCAATAGTAGTAGGTTAGATATTAAAGCTGCGCAGTGAACACAACTGCTTCTCTTCCCTCCTGGAGCTTACATTCTAGTTGGGTGGCCGGATGGCAAAGGCTATGTATGTGTCAGAGTTACATGTATTGATGATATTAAAGAAGACAGGAAAAGAAGATATGGGCTAAGATGCAATGGTGGTTCAATCCTTCAGTTGGGTGACCAGAGGAGTCTTTGTTGGCTACTTGATTTTTTTAGGCAAGAAATAAATTAAGGGAGCTAGGTAGTCTTTTTAAAGGATATTTTCCCAAAGCTTTTGCATGTTTATCAGATATTTAATAATCTGCAAACACACATTTTCAGCAGTAAAAATCAAAGCAATAACACAGAATCTACCGAAGGTCAAACAGAAACGAAGATGAAGTGTTTTTGCAACAACATAACAGAAACATGGAATTTTTACCAAAACAAAATTTAAAAATCAAAAGAGTTCCTATCAAGCTTGTGCTAATATTGGAATGCCAAATCTGTGATTCAAAATAAACAATGATTTCTTACCTCAGGTCCCCAGGCTGCTTCTAACGGGAGGTGCTTGTTCAGCTCAGTCATTGACTTCCAAGTCTGTGCTTCATTCAAACAACCGCTCTGTCAAAAGATTGTACATGTATGGATGTGTCAAAGTTTTTGGGTCAATTTATTCCTAGGTATTTAACATATTTTGATGTCATTGAAGGTTTTATATTTTTTAAAAAATTTATTATTTAAATAGTGGAGTGAAAACATTTAAGTTTTTTACTGAGCTTGTTTTTCAGATGACTTTTTAAAATATTTACTTATTGTAAATTTTTTAAAAGATGTATTTATTTGAAAGGGAGGGTTAGAGAGAGAAGGAGAGACAGAGAGAGATCTTCCATCGTTCACTCCTCACATGGCTGCAATGGCTAGGGACCTGCCAGGCTGAAGCAAGAAGTCAGGAGCTTCATCCAGGTCTCCACCGTGGGTGGCAGGGGCCCGAGTGCTGGGGCCATCATTGCTGCTCCCCAGGCACATCAGCAGGGAGCTGGATCAGAATCTGAGTATCTGCAACTCAAACCAGCACTCCAGTGTGGGACACAGGCCTCTCAAGGGGCATCTTAACCTGCTGCACCACGTTTATTCTTTGCTGTTTAACAAAGATTATCCAGGAGAAATATTATAGAGAAGTAGTGATAGTAGCCACCCTAGTTTGTTTGTTTGTTTGTTTGTTTCTTTCTTTTTTTTTTTTTTTTTTACAGGTAGATTGCACAGTGAGAGAGAGAGACAGAGAGAAAGGTCTTCCTTTGCCGTTGGTTCACCCTCCAATGGCCGTCGCGGCCGTCGCACTGCGGCCGGTGCACCGCGCTGATCCGATGGCAGGAGCCAGGTGCTTCTCCTGGTCTCCCATGGGGTGCAGGGCCCAAGCACTTGGGCCATCCTCCACTGCACTCCCTGGCCACAGCAGAGAGCTGGCCTGGAAGGGGGCAACCGGGACAGAATCCGGCACCCCGACCGGGACTAGAACCTGGTATGCCGGTGCCGCTAGGTGGAGGATTAGCCTAGTGAGCCGCGGCACCAGCTAGCCACCCTAGTTTCATTCTTGATTTCAGAAGGGAATCTTTCAGATTTTTACCATTAGGTAGATGTGTATATTAATATGCATTTTCTTTTCTTTTTTTTTAAGTTTTTCTTATATATTTTGGTTTATTTGAAAGGTAGAGGAATAGACAGAGAACTCTTCTGTCTGCTTATTCATTTCCCCAAACGCCACAAAAGTCAGGGCCAGGCCAGGTGGAAGCTGGGAGCCAGGACCTCAATTCAGGTTTTCCATTTGGGTGGCAGAGGCCCAAGTGCAGGAACTGTCATCCTCTGCTGCCTCCCAGAGTATGCATTAGCAGCAAGCTGCACTGGAAGGTGAGCCAGGACTTGAACTCAGGCATTCCAAAATGGGACATAAATGCCCCATAATATCCCCTAACGATCCTTTGAGTATTTCTGTGGTATCAGTTGTAATATCTCCTTTTCCATCTCTGATTTCACTCATTTGTGTCTCTTTTTTTTCTTGGTTTGTCTAGCTACAGGTTTATCAATTTTATCTTTTCAAAACAAAATCGTCATTCCATTCATCTTTTGTATTTTTGTAAGTTTTTATTTCCTTTATTTTGTTCTGATTTTTATATTTTCTTTTCTTCTATTAACTTTGGGTTTGGTTTGTTCTTGCTGCGCCAGGTCCTTGAGATGCATTGGTAGGTTTTTTATTTGTCATCTTTTAATTTTTTTTTATGTAGGTGCTTATTGCCATACACTTCCTTTTTAGTGCTGCTTTGCTGTATCCCATATGTTTTGGTACATTGTGCTTCCATTTTTGTTTGTTTCAAGGAATTTTTTGATTTCTATTTTGACTTCTTCAATAATCCACTGTTCATTCAGAAGTATATTGTTCAGTCTGTATGTATGTGCATGATTCTTTCATTGTTGATTTTTAGTTTCATTCCATTGGGGTCAGAATGATTCCTGTAACTTTTCTGTATCTGTATTTTACTTGGGTTGATGATGTTTATAATTTTTAAAAATTTTTTGAAAAGTAATGTTATGTATAGATGATAAATTTTTAATCAAATAATCGTTCATGAATTGTTAAAATAATCTTACACTTTTTCCCATTTATGCTATTAATATAGAGAGTTGCTTTGGTTTTCTAATGCTATACCAACTTTCCATCCAAGAAATAAACAAAACTTGATAATAATGTATTCTTCTTTAATATACAGCCGGGGTCGATTTGCCAATATTTCCTTTAGGTGTTTGTACCTAAGTTTATAAGTGAGACTGGCTCATAATTCTCTTTGCTTTAAGGTTCTTATCAAGTTCTCCTAGATACACAGAATGAGTTGAAAAGTCCCTGTCCTGAACTGCTATTCTCTGGAAGAGTTTTTCTAAAGCTGAAGAGAATTTTTCTTAAATGTTTGGTGGTCTTTATTAGGAAAGCCATCCAAGGTTAGAGTTTTCTATTTTTTTTCCTTATAAAACATGAAACTTTTGTAAGTTCTGTTTTTTGAAGCATTTGTTCATTGTAAAATTCGCAGAACTACTTGTAATGTTTATGATAAGGGCTGGCACTGTGGCGCAGCGGGTTAAAGCCAGGGTCCGTAGCAGCTGTATCCACTACAGCACAGAGCCAGCCTCCAAAGAACCAATTTTTCACTTTGTGAATTCACTTTATCATATGTTTGTATATATTATATTAATTTCTGTTCTTTATTTTTGCTCCTTTCGTTTCATTTCAGTATAATTTCTACTGCTTTTCTAATTTTTTAGATGTGGAGGCTTTTTCAGCATACACATGAAGCCTAGACATTTTCCCCAGAGCATGATGTTAGCTAACCCCAGTGAATTTTGACATCTGCTTTTCATTATCGTTAGCTGAAATGATCAGAGTCTGGTTGAAAAATTAAAAATAAAGTTTATCTAACTAGTCAAACTGAGGATTTAAACTTGGAAACAACCATTTTCCCACAAACCTGAGTTTGGTAATGGGTTTTACACTTACAGGGTGAGTATACACACTGAATCAGGTTTACAGTATAGAGTTAAGTGTGGTTATCAATCACATTGAAAGTTGAAGAATACCTGTTTGAAGACTGAAGAACACCTGGTAAAAGCTAACAGACATGATGAAGAGGGTGCCTTACATTTTACTTTTCTTTGCAGTCAAATATACATAACATCAAATTTACCATTTTATGGGGCCGCCACCTGCAGTGCCGGCATCCCATATGGGCGCCGGTTTGAGTCCTCGGTGCTCCACTTCCCATCCAGCTCTCTGCTATGGGCTGGGAAAGCAGTGGAAGAAGGCCCAAATCCTTGGGCCCCTGCACCTGCGTGGAAGACTCAGAAGAAGCTCTTGGTTCCTGGCTTTGGATTGGCACAGCTCCAGCCGTTGCAGGCAGTTGGGGAGTGAACCAGCAGATGAAAGACCTCTCTCTCTCTGCCTCTCCTTCTCTCTCTGTGTAACCCTGACTTCCAAATAAATAAATAAATCCTTAAAAAAATTTACCATTTTAGCCGTTTTAAATTATTCAATTAAGTGGCATTAAGTATACCGACTCTAATCCAAATTCAGAAGTTTTGTTTAACTTCTTCCACCTTACATATATATCTCTGCTTTCTCCCCAAAAATATTTGGTGAGGAATGAGAGTATTAGATTATCCCATAATTATGCAGTTTTATCTTATATTAGAGTTCACAGCTTCAGAATAACAGTAAAAACACTACTACCTGTTATGATGATTGAAATAAATTTTTTCACTTTGCACATACATTACACATTGTCCTACACTGTGTTTTTAAATTGTACTATGGGGCTGGTGCTGTGGTGCAGTGGGTTAAAGCTCCGGCCTGCAGTGCCTGCATCCCATGTGGGTGCCAGTTTGAGTCCTGGCTGCTCTTCTTCTGATCCAGCTTTCTGCTATGGGCTGGGAAAGCAGCAGAAGATGGCCCAAGTCCTTGGGCCTCTGCACCTGCATGGGAGACCTGGAAGAAGCTCCTGGCTCCTGGCTTTGAATTGGTTCAGCTCCGGGCGTTGCAGCCAATTGGAGAGTAAACCAGTGGATGAAAGACCTCTCTCTCTCTCTCTCTCTCTCTCTCTCTCTCTACCTCTCTCTGTAACTCTTTCAAATAAAAAAAAATCTTTTTTAAAAAATGTACTATATGTCTTCAGACAATACACCCATTATTATTATACTCTTTCCCTTCAAATTTTTCTTCTTTTAATTTTCCCTTTACACATGCTTTTTTGTTTTACAAGTAAATATATTTAATCTTTCTAGTTCTTACATTGATACTTCTTGATGCCTTTTGTATCAGTTTACACTTGTAGCAGAAACACTACAAGAAGCCACCAGATGTGAAAAAAGTTGTGCTCCTAATTCGTTGCTCTCAGGGGAGCCAGCCAGAAAAACTGTCTAAGCAGAGACATCTGCACTGAGGCGTGTGTGATCAAGACTTGGGCTTTCTGAAACTTATTATTCAGTGGATTCCTCAGGAAGGGCCGTTAGGAACAACGTTTCCTGAGTTTCCTAGAAGATGACTGTATTTTTTCCAGTGCCCTTTCAGTATGGACCGATTTTGCTTGACAGAAGGTCCTTGGCTCACACACATTTACTCTCCTTTAGTGTGTTAGAGATGTTACTCTACTTTCTTCTGACATAAAGCACTGCTACAAATTTTGATCATCTAATTTTCCCCTATGTTGTACATTGTGGTAAAAAACACATACCATTTACTGTATGAACAATATAAAAAATCAAACAAAAAACTTCTTTGAGTGGTAGAGAGAGAGAAGAGGGAGGGAGAGGGAGAGAGACAGAGGGAGAGAGCTTTCATCCACTGGTTCACTCCCCAGATGACCACAATGGCTGGAGCTGAAACAAGGAGCCAGGAACTCAATCCAGGTCTCCCTGCAATGGGTGGCAGAAACCCAACTACCTGCTGCCTCCTAGTGTCTGCATTAGCAGGGAGCTAGCATCAGGAGCCAGAAACAGGCATTGACTCTAGGTACTCCAATGTGGGATTGCAGGTGTCCTAATCAGAGTCTTAACTACTAGACCAAATACTCACCCCATCTTAA